TTGTAAAGTCGCTGAAATTGGGGAAACTTGTGGCGAATTCCCTGGCACTATACTAGCCAAATGTCATTAAATCATCATACGGTAGGTTTATGTGCAGGCTATCACACCAATAATGTCACCTGTAATGTGACAAAAACTACATTGACGAAAGAAAATGAACGACTGTAATTGTAGTTTAAAGATAAAGAGCAAAGCCCAGCAAATAACTTTAAAACCAAACATAATAAAAGTAAAAATTTAATTGGCTAACATTTTGTTGTTTACAATACAACATCTTCAGAGCAATCTAAATGAATTTACAGGGTATGGTATATATATTTACAAAATAATGGTTTACTATTACAAAAACGGTTACATAATTTGAAAGAACAAATGAATAGAAAGAAAGGAAAACAACTTATCAGTAACAAGTTAATAAGTAAAGATTAATGTTAAGTGCATGGTTAGTATAGTTAACGTTAATATTACATAACTACTAGAAAATACATGCATGTAGAAACCCTCACCTTGCTGACAAAACCATTTTATTTTCCGAACGTGAAGTATTTTAAGTAGTTGTCATGGTAACATGACAATTTTTTAAGAATATTTGTACAAATGAAAAATCCCCTATAAATATCACTTTTAATTACAAAATTATCAATTTCCTAGACATATATGTTAGGTATGTTATTATACGTAATATAAGCTTGAATTTAAGGTAAAATTCAACCACAAACGCTTCGCAAAACGTTTTAAAATGTTCTTTTACTATAGAACTAAACTGCCTTTATCGATAAACTTTGAGTTCGAAATAAAATGATTCCAAATTCTCCCATGCAAATAACTTTGCTTAGTATAATAAAAAGTGTAATCCATAAAGAAACACTGAAATAATACGCTGTCTTGTTTCTAGCCAATGTGGCCGGCTCTTTCATAAGTAGAGCCTGCCCGAAAGCCCTAGTCAAATTGATGCTGCCCACTTAGTTAATATTCCATATTAACACCGCCCACTCGAAATAAAGTAATCGGCTTTTAAAGTAATTACAGCCGAAATTACAGTATATTAAAAACAAACAATGCATCAATATTTAAAACAAACTTACCTTCGTTAACATCGGCAGCTTTACTTCCTTCTTTTAGCAATCCTCTTGCCTTTATTTCATCAAAAATCCTTTGCAATTTACAAATTTTTGCAAAAATGAAATATATTTGCAAGAAATCATCAAATCAATTTCGCTGTCTTAAATCGTCATGCAGCCGTTATAATGCCAATTTTAAATTGGACCAATCAATGTTGGCTATTCATTACAGTCCGCTATATTATGAGATCAGTGAGGATGACCACCCACTGAAACACGCACAGTGACCCACGCCCGCGATATTTGATGAACTTTAGACTTCGCTAATGCTACCCTTCTCCGGGTGTAAATAGCCGGGGGGAATTAGTACCCTCACACGGCGCTTCTCGCCGTTGGCTCGGGGAAAATAACTCAAGAGGGGTAGATCTAATATTAGCATTAAGGACAGGGTTAAGTTGAGAAATTAATAGGTGTTCACGGATAAGAAGATCCCACTCAGAAGTGCCTGATGATAGAATTTTGAAATCAGCAGCGGAGACTGGGTGTTTGTGCATGTGTTTGTGAGCAAGTATACTAGACATGGTTGAGATAGAGCGTTCTTTTCCAGTCAAAGGTTGAGACTGTGTCGGCGTGTTTGGCCAACATACAATGCGCTACAGCATTGACATGTGAACTGATACACAACATGTGATTTTAGGGCAATGGGAATCCGGTCTTTAAATGGAAAGAAACTAGCAAGGCGACAAGAAGGACGGAAAACAACACATATGGAAATATGTGGATAAGCAGAAGCAAGAACTTTACTAAGTTGTGTACGGATATGAAGACCACAATGTCCAGTGAAAGGAAGGCAAAAGTAAACAATTTTCTTGGAACATGTATGGACCTTGGCCTTGGTGTTGTAAATCCGGTCAAGAAATGTCTAATGCAACTATCTAGAAGTGCTTTAGGATAACCATTGGAAGAAAAGGTTTTCTTAAAATTTTCCATTTCAGACTGGAAAGATATGTAAGAAGAACAAATGTTGAAATATCGAGATATGAGAGAGAAAAGGAGACCTTTTTTGTACATCATTGGAATAAAGCTATCAAAGTTTGTGAATAAGCCAGTTGAAGTGCATTTGTGATGGACAGAGGTCGTGAATGAGCCGTTTGAACGCATTACATTAACATCAAGAAAAGGAAGTGAAGAATTGTTTTCAAGCTCATGTGTGAATTGAGATAAGAGAGGAAGGGAAGCACATGATCACGGGATTGAAAGATCAGAAAACAATCAACATAACAACGATAAAGCAAAGGTTTAAAGTTAGAGGGCAGTCAGCTAACCAAGATTTTTCATGGAATGATAGAAAGATGTTAGCAAACAGTGGACCAAGTGGTGAACCCATTGCAACACCATCAACCTGCTTATAAAGAACACCATCAAATAGAAAATGACAATTCTTTACAGATAAGTTAAGAAGTCGAGTGAATTGATCAACTGTGAAACCGTGAGGTATTATAGAAACACTTATTAACAATTAAACTAATGGTCTCATCTAATGGTATGTTAGTGAAAAGTGACTTAACATCAAAGCTAGCCATTACAACACTATTAGTATTAATCTGCAGCTCACATAATTCCTTAACAAACATAAATGTATCAGTAATAGTGTAAGAATTAGTGGAAAAAGGACGGAGAAGTGGTACAAGAAACTTAGCAAGTTTGTAAGCATGAGTTCCTATAGCATAGATGATAGGCCTTAATGGAAAATTAGGTTAATGAACTTTGGGTAAACCATATAGAATACCTGGCCGAGAGCCAATGGGCGTAAGTTCATCATGCTGTTGTTCAGATATAAGTTCTTCATTCTTGCGTTCATTAAGGAGTTTACGAACTTTGTCTTCACGTTTTACACTCTCTTTATATATATTAGATTTCTGCATTTTTAACTGTTAGAATTTAGTGCTATCCTTAAGAATGTCAAACATTCTAGATTTGTAGTCGCTGCTAGATTTGTTCTTCTTACATATCTTTCCAGTCTGAAATGGAAAATTTTAAGAAAACCTTTTCTTCCAATGGTTATCCTAAAGCACTTCTAGATAGTTGCAATTAGGACATTTCTTGACGGGATTTACAACACCAAGGCCAAGTTCCATACATGTTCCAAGAAAATTGTTTACTTTTGCCTTCCTTTCACTGGACATTGTGGTCTTCATATCCGTACACAACTTAGTAAAGTTCTTGCTTCTGCTTATCCACATATTTCCATACGTGTTGTTTTCCGTCCTTCTTGTCGCCTTTCTAGCTTCTTTCCATTTAAAGACAGGATTCCCATTGCCCTGAGATCACGTTGTGTATCAGTTCATGTGTCAATGCTGTAGCACATTGTATGTTGGCCAAACACGCCGACACATTCACACACGTATCTCGGAGCATATGAGAGTCTCGCCTTTGACTGGAAAAGAATGCTCTATCTCAACCATGTATAGTATACTCGCTCACAAACACATGCACAAACACCCAGTCTGCGCTTCTGATTTCAAAATTCTATCAGCAGGCACTTCTGAGTGGGATCTTCTTATCTGTGAAAGCCTATTAATTTCTCAAATTAACCCTGTCCTAAATGCTAATATTAGATCTACCGCTCTTGAGTTATTTTAGTCAGGTAATATTAACCTTAACTATACTAACCATGCACTTAACATTAATCTTTATTTATTAACTTGTTACTGATAAGCTGTTTTCCTTTCTTTCTATTCATTTGTTCTTTCAAATTATGTAACCGTTTTTGTAATAGTAAACCATTATTTTGTAAATATATATATACCATATCCTGTTTTAAAGATTAAAGTAAAGTTTAAATTATCAGTCTCTCTACATTTTTTGTCGATGTAATGTAAAGAGTATGGTTTTAATCATTAGAGACCTTTAGATTTCCGGCTTGGACGTCAAACGGCTAACCGCGAACCGCGGTTAGCCGTTTGCGGTTAGCGGTTTGCCGTACAACACGTCATTCGCATTTAGTTTTTAGAACTTTTCAGTTTTCGCGCTTTTTTCAAGACCTTTTTGTACAAGCAATGGCGGGTGTTCGAAGGTTAGTTTTGAGCTAGTTTTTTTAGTTTTAAACTATAAATAATTTGTTTTAACAAAAACATAACCTTTTCAGACGTGATTTGAATGATATATTGGATATAATGGCGTACGATTCAGACAGCAGCAGTTCCAGTTCAAGTAACGAAGATGTGGACATGTTATTTTTGGATACACTGTTTAACCCTACACTTAAAATGCGACACAGACTCGATTTTCAGGCACTCAGTGACAGTGAGTGCGTAGAAATGTTCAGGTGTGTTAACAACACTTTAACTGTGAGGTTATTTTGCCGCTGGCATTTGCTCTATAAACTTATACATGGTGTTTTTATACTTTTTTACGAAAAGGTTTGAGAAGAATGACATAGAGCGTCTATGCACGTTGTTACGCTTACCAAACAAGTACACGTGTAGACAAGGGACAACAGCGACTGGGCTAGAAGCTCTAATGATAATGTTAAGAAGGTTGACATATCCTAATAGATGGTCTGATCTTGTTCCTCTGTTTGGAAGAAGCAACTCCGAATTGAGCCTGATTTTCAACACGGTTAATATATAATAGTTATGTCATTAAAAAATTTTCTAGTTATCGTCTTTCTTTTCCAGTTTTAGTATTTCCCTTATGGTACAATTTTATTTCCAGATAGTGGAAGATATATATTTGAAGCACAGGCATTTGCTGGAGTCATTGGACCTTACCTGGTTAGATCTCCAACAATTCTCAGATGCAATTTATGCAAAAGGTGCTCCCCTCCAAACCTGCTGGGGATTCATTGACGGGACTGTCAGGCCTATAGCAAGACCAGTGCGCAATCAGAGGATTATGTTCAGTGGTCACAAAAGAGTACACTGCATAAAATTCCAGGTATAACGTCTTAAATTGTGCATCATATCGACTTGTCCATCCCAATAAGTGCAATTTTCTTTTTCAGTCAATTCATGCACCCAATGGCCTCATTTCCCATATGTATGGTCCCATTGAGGGTAGAAGGCACGATGCCTTTATGCTAGCAGCAAGCGGTGTGTCTGCAAAGTTAGAGCAACTGGAGGATGCTAGAGGCAGGGGAGAACGCTACGTCATTTATGGTGATCCAGCTTATGGTGTTACCAGATCCATCTTGGCTCCATTCCGTGGTGCCAATTTAACAGAAGACCAGAAGAAATTTAACAAAAGAATGAGCAAAGTTCGAGTTAGCGTTGAGTGGGGTTTTGGGAAAATCTGCACTTACTTCGCATATTTGGATTTTAAGAAAAATTTGAAGGTCCTCTTGCAACCTGTAGCCAAATACTACATAGTAGGTGCTCTTATGACAAATTGTCATACATGCTTATATGGATCCCTATCAACTACATTCTTCGAAGTTGATCCACCATGCCTGGAAACCTATTTACTAAATGAGTAACACATAAATTGTTAAATTTGAAAAAAAAGCATTGTAAGTAACTTTTAATTATTGAAGAACCTTGTTACATAATATAATTACATAAGAACAAATGTTAACAAATAAACTAGTCTGTTAAAGTTTACATCTTATTGTTTAACAATTCAAGCATCATCCTTCTTTCTTCCATTTCCATCTTGAAACGCATTTTCCTTTCTTCAGTTTGTTCTTCAAATTTTCGTTTTTGCAGGTCTAACTCCATTTTTCTAATTTCTAGTTCTTTTTGTTTTAATTCCGCTTTCCTTTCATATTTGTCACTTAACATCTGCACTGCAGATAACTTACTAGCTCTTTGTTTAACCTTTTTTCCTAGACAGGATGCCGAAACATGACAAGTTATAACACAATAATTCCTCATAAAGAAATGCCGTTCCAGTAATAAGCTAATATAAATTACTACCTGTTTTGTTCTTCTCTTCAGGAGGATTGTCTTCCTCATCTTCATCTTCATCACTGGAGGATGTATTACTGTAGTCATCCGAAAATTTTCCACATCACCCAAAAATCACCCCTCCCCCCCAATCAACCTTTTTTTCTATACAACTCTAAGCTAAATATTGCTCAGTGCTGCTAAACATGAATCAGTGGTTTTATGCTATGTTACATAAATACAGACCAGCTATTCCTGATAGGGCTGCTTGTCTCATGTCATGCCCTCTTTTTTCATCTTCTTCAATCTTTTTTCTTTTCACTTCCTTTTCTAACTCTCTAGCCTCTTCCAAATCACGACGAAAAACTGTTATGTCCTCAAGAAGAACATTTAACTCACTGTATTCTTCCTCAGTGCCTGATCTGTCAGAGATATATCACATTCATATACCAAGTATTTCCCCCAATTATACAGGTAGTCACTCAGAGCATATATAAGATATCCTTTCATAAATATATTTTGTGAAATACAAAGAAATTAATTGCAATTAATTATCTTCCTACACAGGGATAATAGTAAAAGTTGTGAATTTTGCTATACCTTATACTAAGGGACTAGTTATTATTTACAGGGGGGGGGGGGCTGGTGGAAAAAGAGGCGGGGTCAGGTATTTTTATGCATGAAAAAGGGGGGGGCAGGGCCTGCCCCGCATGACTCTGTTGTACCATAAAACCTACAGATAAAAATGCCATTTCCAACGATCTAGAGACTTTTTCCGCTCAGCCCCAACTATGGTGGTGGTGCCATGTGCCCCCCCCCCCCCCAAGCAAAATCTCAGATGTTTTTTCCCAATGTTGGCAACTATTATAGGGCAGTATGCTTAAATGTGGCTTCACTTTATAAGAACTTTAAATTATGAATGTGCCTTTTGCTTTTTGCATGTTTGGGGGAGGGGGAGGGGGGGGGGTCAATTGTGTTGTCCTCAAGGGGGGGACAACAAAATTTTAGCATCTAATTTTCATTTCCACCAGCCCCCCTCCCCTGTAATTAATGACTGGTCCCTAAATGTTGTTCATATACTAAATTCCCAGATCATGTTGTAATGTGTTATACCCACTGGTTATACCTCTTAAGGGCTGCAGAGTCGTCCGCTTTATACTTTTTTAAGAGTCTTTCCATTCTTTCTCTACAACTTCTGCCTTTTAGCACCACTGCTTTTCCATTTGTTAACGAAAATATTGGATTTAGGCGACTCGCAATGTTATCCCAATCACTAGGTTTTTCAGGTCTTGTTGCCACAACTTCCTTTGCCAAATCAACATCGTTTTGCAACATAGGCCATCTGAATGGGCCCATTCTAAATCTTTGTTATTTATACTATAATTTAGTCTAAATAAAACAAACAAATTTATATTATAAACAACTTCAATGCGTTTGTAAAATTCTGTTGACATAGCATTCCAAAGAACAATATTCTTAAAAGATAGTTAAACTATTCCTACACTTTAAGTGGTTAAAATATCTTTGTTATATTGTTAATAAAATGCAATACAACTTTAATATATAAGTTGTCAATATATCGCAGCCATTTTGAATACATGCTATTCCAGTGACCACTTCAAATTTGAGAAATTAACATGCTTAAAAGATTTAATCAACCACAATCATTATTTATATTTAAAGACTAAACGTATACCAACAAAAATAGACTATAATTACACGAGATAATTCGACAAAATAGATATAAAAAGCTTGAGGGAAATGACTTACGTGAAAAACCTTCTCTGTCGTTGAAAACCTCAAGAATATACGGCAAACGCAACCGCTGGGATGTAGTCACGTGGTTTCTTGACGTTTGCGGTTTGACGTTTCAGCCAAAAAACGAATATCTAAATGTCCCTAATGAGTATGTGCAGTCGAGACATGCTGTATTTTATATTTAATTAAATACTGTTGCTGGGTGCCCAAAGATTGTATACCAAAATAGTGTCCGAAACGTTTTAAGTACTAATTACATCCCACATGATCCTAAAGAGTGTCAATAAATTAATTACTAATGACCTTTCTACATAATAGCATACAAAAATTAAACTCGCTTGGCACTATATAATTATTCAAAAACTCCATAACAAAGTATACTTTCGTCAGTGACAGTGTCGAGTTTCAGTTTAAATCCTTTTTGTTTATACCCAATGCAAAAAGTGTTGGCAACAATGACCAAATCAAATACATGTATGTTGATCATTCTTTGGGTTTGGAGTGATGGGTCACGCTTAAAATCACCAGGAAACTTAAAGGATAATTAGAATAACCATGCACGCAGTAGGATTATTATACGTACACGGAGCCGGAGGTATAAGGACAAGTCAAAATATACAGTATCGTGAAAGGTAAGAATAATTCGCTAAGAAATAATTGTTTATATAATTATACAGTATATATGTTTGACTTTTACCGGCATGGCAGTATTTGATGCCCTACAGCCTTTAAATTAATCCAGCTAAATGACACTTTACCTACAGTATATAGCCGCTGGTATACACTGCTTAGTTGTAGCCATGTAGGCTACAGTATATGGAACGGTACAACATATCTGATTGATATTGAGGAACGACGAAAGCCTTCTGTGAGGGAAACAAATTACTAATCTGATGTATATGTGTTCGAGTTTAAACAGTACTTGAATCAGTAAAAGCGCGACTAAGTCGATTTTCCAAGCCATTGTAATTATTGATAAAATGCATGCCTAATTTCTCAGTACTCGATCGAGCTTTCTTTCAATTTCTTGGTGTAATCTTCCGGATGAACTTTATTTTATACTGGTATCAAACTCATGTAGCAACTTTATCCAGATTCAAATTACCGCCGTGCATGATCTGTGTCATAAACATAACATTAAAGCTTGCGCGAGGGAAATTATCATTCAATGTCAATTATCACACAAAGAGCACAGAATGTTTATCACTCAATAATAAGTGACAAAATTCATATATCAATCCGCTAGCTTATTTAGTCGCTTAATAAATTCACTGGGACAGTTAGCAGTGTATTATGCTGGATTACAGTAAAACATTATTGGACAGTAAAACATTATAATTATTTGAATGTAAAACATTTGCTATCATATTATTGCCGGTTGAATTGAGTATAACATTACAGTAATTCTGTTTATGATTATGACGATAAATAACTTTATACATTACTTATAACCTACAGTGAAATTCATATCACGGGTGCCGGTATACTATACAGCATGTTTTAAATAGTATATCATAAAGACCTACACAAATATAATCGCAATATTGAAATATAAATCTTGTAATTAGAAAGCGTATGATAACTGTTGTAGACGGGAAACGTCGGAACACGACGCCATGGTTTTCTGCGGTCGGTGAAAAAAAACGCACGAACCGCAACCGCAAATTGTACGAACCGCGACCGCAAACCGCACGAACCGCGACCGAACCATAGTGTTAACTTATTTCTAGGCAGTACTGTAGTTACCGCTAAATGTTATACATAAAAAATTGTAACTAGTTACAGTTTTACAAAGTTACTTCACGAATTTTGTGACTACTAAAACCTTACACTTTCAATTATTTGTAACTTGTTTAATTTAAAGTTACATCTGCGTAGGTTTTATAACTTAATTAAATTACTGTAAAAAAGGATAACCCATCTGCAAGCCGGCAAATTAGAGGGGACTTATTGTACAGTGGATCATTTTATCGACCACACTAAGATAATAAACCTTGATAGTATAAACAAAGTAGCAAGTAACTATATTTTAACGTGAAAATGTAACGCGTTCCCGTTCCATTTAAGCTAAAATGTAACCAATTACAGTTACCTCTTTTCAAAATGTAACTATAGTTACTGTTTCAGTTACTTGTTAAAAAAGAAACGATTGCTTGTTTGCTACCATTTACATTTTTTCTTCGATTACACTGTTAATTTGAAGGTGTTAAAATAACACCAAAACTGGTGTCAAATAAAAAGGTACAAAATAACACCTTTTTGGGTGCTATTTTAACACCACTTTGTAGGGTGTCAAATTAGCACCTGCAAAGGTGTTAAAATAACTCCATTTTTAGTTTCATAGTAGCACCCTTTTCGGTGTTGTTTTAGCACTCTAACCTTAGTGTTAAAATAACACTCAATTTTAGTGTTATTTTAGCATTACCGAATATCAAAATGTATATACACAAAACAATTAATAAAATAATCTGTTGAAAAATTTATTTACTCATTATACTTTACAGCATTACTTATCTATGTCATATATGAAGTTTATAGTAAATTCAGAGTAATTGCACCTAAGGTTTACACTATATAAAAACATTCACAGACATAGACCATGATTGTGACGCCATAACTCTCCTCGTACTACACTCTAGTCATTAAAAATAAGGACAATACCGTAAACTTCCAACTATAAGCCCTGGGCTTGCATTCTTTCGTGAGCGATTTTTGATGGGCTTATATAGGGGACTTATATACAGGGGGCGTATACATGGACAATCTTTTGTGTTAGTTTAATAGTAATAAACAAGTATAGTAATAGTGAGAAACAAGTGTTACACAAGCATAGTAATAATAATGATAAATAGTTGTATTAGTGATAAACAAGTGGGCTTATTTATATTTGGGTGGGCTTATATTCAGGGGGGGCTTATATTTGGAAGGAGGTGAGCGTTAGTACATTTGGTGGGCTTATACGTGGGGGGGGGGGACTTATACATGGGGGGCTTATATTTGGAGATTTACGGTATATCCTGCATGTACAATACATGAATTACATTAATGATCAATATAATATCATCTTTATCATAAATTGTGCATTATCATAAACTGCAGGTTATTGGCTATATTGCACAATTTGAATTTTTCACAAACATTCCCTCTGCAATCAATGAAATCAAACTTATCTCTTCCAGAGGTCCCGTACCAATAGACAAGGGGTTGAGATACTGATAAAAGGGGTTGAGCATCCTCTACACAAAAAATATTTAAACATAGAATAAATTTCTGTATAGTATGCATACACATATATAGATTAAGTTCTTTCAATTAAGTATCTTAATCTATGTTAATTGTTTAATCCATGTCCAGAATATAAACACACAGATACTAAACAATTGTTTCTTCAAAACCTGTAATTACTGTAATCAATCATACAGCAAGGTAGACTATTCACTAGCTACAGGTGCAAACAGTAGAAAATACTTCTCCCAATTACATACTTTGATTCAGTTGGATCATTTCAATACAGTTTATATCCGTCACAATCCAAATGAAAGTTTATGTCACCGGTGAAGATAATTTGTAACCAATAGAATATTTGCTGAATGGTACTCTAACCCATTAAGCGGGAGCCCTCTCCCCTTGACAAGTAAAATCGTCTGGTGTTAGACAAAGTAAAATAATAAAGTAGGGTGCAATTTATGTGGCAAAGTTGACATGAATGGGGTAACTAGGCAAATGGGCAGATATGACAGTTAACCCATTAAGCACCAGCTCTCTCCCCTTGATAAGTAAAATCATGTGGGATCAGACAGAGTTAAATAGTCTGGCATTAAATAAAGTAAAATAATAAAGTAGGGTATATCAGGGCATAATGCAACTCAATTTGTAATTTTCTGTGGTGAGTCGGCTACAAAATGAAAATGGGTATTATTTTACATTCCAAGTTTATTTGTAGATACTAGTGTAATTCATTGTCAATTAATAATTTAACGTCAATTATTGATCATTTATTGTCATTAATTGTCAAATTGCCACAAGATAACAGAGATAAGTTCACATAAAACCCACCCACTTATAATGTCGATTCGATGTTGTTGTGGCAACATGAATATGGACATGGCCCCTTAAACAGTTTCTTTATGCATAAAATTGTGAGCCTGGAAATTCTATTTGTGTTTACATTCATGCCGGTCTGAATTCATGCCAGTCTAAAGTCAATCGGCTTGATCCAGCAGGCAGAATGACTTGAGACTGGTCTGTCGAGTTATTTTCATCCCGGTCGCTTGTGAACATCTATTATAGATCATACTATGAGCAAAACAAAACGGTCCTGGTTTGACTTTGTTGTGGTCTCATGTAAACAGGGCCTAATACAAAGCCATAGAACTTGCTTTGGAGATTATATCAATATTAATAGCTATTGAGTCAACATTGATATCCTCTCAATAGATCAATACATTAACAAATATAAATGTTTATATTGTTAACTTTAATGTATTGATCACTATTGAAAGGGTATCAATATTAACTCATTTAGCTAATATTTATCTAATCGCCAAAGCAAGTTCCATGGCTTTGTATGAGCGAACAATCCTTCTTTTTGTGGGCCC